GATAGGTGGAGATTGGTATCTTGCTTCCATTCTTATTTTTACGTCTGTTTTTTCAATTCTAATCGATGTCTGGCACACAAGCTTTCACTGGCAGTGCAGAAGAAGAAAGCCCCAGGCTGTGTGATCTCATAGCCCCCATGGATGGAGAAGATGTGGGTGGGTCTGCTCTTTTCTGTGCCGAGGCACTGAAGGCTGGTACATCTCTGCCCAGCAACATCAGGCCTGCAGAGAGACTGGGAAAATGCCTCATTCTGCCTTCAGATTTTCACCAGAATATCAGTAGTTTTCTTTACCTTTGTACCTGCTGTTTCCCTGTGCTTTTTAGATTATTTCTTTGTTGCTTTTGTTTTTCTATTCCTGCTTCTAAAATAAGAGCAAGCCTTTCTCTTGAGAGGAATGTTGAATTTGTCTTTACAAATGAGTTGTGGATCAGCTATAGATAAGGCTAGCACTGAGATATAAAAGAAACAATGGGATGGATTCCACTAATTGATGAATGGAAAGAAATATTTGCCTTTACAAACAAACTGTAGGGCTGCTGATAAATGAAATTGGATATCGAAAGATGAAAGAAGCAACGGGGGGAAACTATGAATTCTATAAGAATTAAAAATTAAAAGGGAGGGTTATACATTAAAGGGGAATTTCAGGTATCAGGCGTTCCGGGAAGTCTGTGCCTCTCAAGTACCTAAGCCAGTGGGGAAAGAGAGAGGGAAATGCGGCCGGGAAAATAGGATAAAAAGGAGGCTGCGTCCTCCAAAAATTTGAGAGATCCCAGGGGAATGTCCCATGGCCTCTCCCTTTATTCGAATAAAGCAAAAAGGACTCCTCTGTCTCCTTTTTGGACATAAACCTCTGGTGTTTGTGGATTAATTTTCCTGACACTCTGTTTGTCTGACGTGCAGCATATTTTCAGGATTGTGATAGACAAGAAGCAGGGTTTCAATGCCATCTTATTGCAAGTAAATTCAGGGAACCATCTCTGCAAATGCTCCTTTGCGAAAGATCAATCCTGACTGGAGGTAAAGACCTTTGATCTGAAGAGGTACAGACTGCACACATTCAGCTGTTTCACTCCCATCTAGAGGGAGTCAGCCCATCTGTAAGCATCTCTTGCAGTATTCTCACACTCGTGAGAGTGAAAGATCAGGATCTTAAAATCTGATAACCACAAGGTACCCTCTTGTTGTTCTGCTGTTGAACTTGCATTGATCTGCTCCTAAAGCATTAGTAAAGTTAAAGCTTACATGGCGCTGTTTTCCACAGAGCTAAAATCTCTATGGCTTCTTTTTAATTTGGTAAGAGTATCTGTGTGTTCAGCACTCCTGAAAATCAATGCACCAATCTCAGATCTGAAACTAATTGTAAGTTGGTACAAAGTTGAACAAATTCACACAAATGCCCCTAGGAGACATACAAGTCTGTAGGTTGGAGGGGTAAAAAATTTGAGAGGAAGTTGTATTTAACTGAGTTTTCACCTTCCTCTGTCATGACTCAGTTTCCTACCTCTTTATTTTTGGAGTGTTTTCCTTTCCCCACAGCAGCTGTTTTACAATAGATCATTTGTGGTGCTCAGGCATCAACTCCACATCAGGATTCAGGTCTCCGAGTGCAGGACTTCCCATGAAGATGAGTAATGACAGTATTATAGGTCATAACTCTTTCGTTCGCAAAAGTATTTTAATTGCAAGTAGTATAATTTTTCCTACAAGTCAATAGGGATGCTTGAAAAATACCTTGCTTTGCAGTATTTTCTTGGTCCAGAAACTGCATTTCTGCCTGTGATTGTCAAGTCACTGGTGTCCACTGGTGTGCAGAGCTGGTTGGAAGCAGGGCTGAAATGCCTATGAATCTCTTCAGTGTAACCTCTGTGTGTGTTTGTGGGTGTTAAGATTAATGAGTTGGACTTTCAAGTGCTATAATGGCAAGGGAAGGCAAAGTATACTGAACAGCCCCTCACCCCATTTCCTTTTCCAAGTTCACACAATCTGTAAATAAATATTTTGCTGAATTTTATATAACATGTCCGTCTTCTAGTCTGTTCTTATTATTAAAGAAATATTGTCATGTCAGGCTCTTCCCCTTGTATTTTAGCTGTATGAATAGCATAATTTCCTGTTTTTCCAGGCAAATTGTCATAAACATCACTCTCCAAGGAGATGCAGAAGGTAGAATTTTTGTAAACTGATGCTGAGATTTGAGCAGTTTATCTCCAGTGAGAGCTGTCTGCTTATTCTCGCCAAAGGTATTAACTAAAGATTATTGGTCCTCTTGATTGCTGAAAATGTGTAACTGAATGAGATACAAAGTATTTAGTATATAAAGGAAGGATATTGCTTTGGGATTTCTTTTCAATAATTGCAAATAGAGAGATACTTCCTCAATAATACTTGTAATCTAGGACTGTTTCCTTTCATTGCCAGTGGCCATTACTGAATATTTAAGAATAAGTGGCAGTTTTCCTCTTTTTATATCAGCTCCATCCTCAAAATGTTGTTTACAGCATTCAATGTGCTGCCTGTTCAGCCCCATTCTTGTAAAAGTTCACTTTCTTTCCTTTGTGAGCCTTGTCAGAAACAGGAAGGGTTTCTCCCTGCTTGTCTTTTACCTTAGAGCCATGAAGAACACTGTCTTCTGACCCTCCTCCTCTCTAGGAGAGGTATTCTTGGATAACTCAGGTTCCCAAGCGTCTTTCTCAGTTTTTGGCTGAAGAGGTGGGCGTAGAAAACTCTACAGAATTAGCTGGGGAAAGAAATGAGAATAGACAAGACTGGAATTGACAATTTCTAGGTTAGAAAAAAAAATTGAAATAACTATAATTTGCTTCATCTGTGCAATGTAACTAAAGTGAGAAAGCTTCTTCAGGCACCATAGAACACAATTCCTCCATAAAATTTTTACAAATACTGAAGAGTGAAAATCAGGTAGGCAGGGTTGTTTCTCACCTGTTGCAAGCACCAGAATTTTATTCTGAAATAGGATGAGCTTAAAGACAAGTACATCTGGGACTAAATTAGAGCCTTCCGTATATAAAAAAAACAATACTGCAAGTCACAGATTAAAAGGAGGAAAAAATCATCATTTTACTAAAAAATCCTCCTGCTCGCAAGAAGCCCGAAGTCAAATCTGATTCAAACAGTGATTCTTCCCTGTGGGCAGTGCAGTGCTGTGGTGATAAGGGACTTGACATGGGTGGACAGTTCTGATTTTCACCAACAGAGAAAGCAGAGGCTTGGCTTGGGGATGTTTGTGTTGGATCCTGTCTGTCAGAGTTCGAAAGCCCATTGAGATGTTTGGCTGTGGGGAAGGGGGGAAGGAGAGGGTGCTCCAGAGCAGCGTTGTCTGTGCACATGAGCTTGCACACTGCTGTTCTTACAGGCACTTTTCTGTGCTCTCCTAATGCCTAATTAGAAGCTGAGCAAGTAGCTCAAAAAGCTTTATCAGAGTTTCCTCTGGGAAATTGGTGCCTTTAGTGTTACAGACACTGCAAGTCAGGCTGAGTTCCCAAGATTTTGTATAGAACAGGAAAGCAGCAGATAATTGCAGTTTAATAAAGCCCCTTGATGCTTTCATCTGCTGGATAATAACTTCAATTGACAGTTGATGTTTTCAGCTGTGTAAATTTTGAAAAATTATTATCTATATTTCGAAAGTTTACCCTAAATAATAGAATCTTTAACCTTAGATCTTAAGCAGTGTTTGAGACAAATAGGATGCCTTAGGATTTTTTACTGGCTCAAGAATCATAGAAGTTAAACCACTCCAAGTATACCTCTTTGAAGAGTTCTTAAATATGCTGTTTGTATTTTTAGAATGATTATGAGCTCCAAGGGAAGGAGTTACCTTGTGAAAATAAAATCTCAGGCACCCCAGTGTTTTGTTGCTGCCCATCCCTTCAAAGACACCTGCGATCTTTGCAATGTCAGAAGTCCCTGTATGTTGCACTTAGATCAGCTGTTCACAGAAGTTACGTCCAAAGCCCAGTGCTCTCGGGCCTGGCTGAGGATGTATTGTCCTTCTCAGGCTCTTGGGGCACAGCTATAAGTGATGGTGTTTCTGATCTTCTCCTGCTTCTGCCCATAACTATTGCCCTGGGCTGTGGGGCCTGGTTGCTTAGAAGCAGATCTGTGAGGTGGCAGTGGTGTTTATCTCTTGGCTTTCAGCAGATAAGGAGTGTTAATTTGTAGTTCATATTGTAGCTGACTTTCTCTGTGGTTTATTAAATGCAGTGTGTTTAACCAGTGTGTTTTCTGAAAGCTTTCATTGAGCTGAATTTTCCAGCTGTATTAAAAGCTCAGAGCAGCAGGCATCAGATGTGAGCTCTCGGAGCAGGGCAGGGTTTAATACCAGTGTGACATTTGGAAGGGTGCCTAGGGGAATGCCCTGTGCCTGCATATTGCATTTCAAGAGCACTTTAACATTTGCCTGCCTTTTTATTTTTCTTGAATTTCAGATTCCTGAGGGGGTTAGACCGAAAGGGAAGAGTTTTTATGCTTCCTTAAAATAACTACTTACACATATTGAAGCCCCACCTCCCAAACTTTTTACACCACAAATGTGCAGCAGAAAGAAGAAAAAAAGCAGAGCCTGACTCAGTACGGGGCCATACCCAATGCAATTCTTCCATCACTGTCTCCCTTTTCTACTCCAGTCCCCAAATTCCTCCCTTTTTGCTGCCTTTTGCTCATCCTCACTTTCTCCAGGTCTCCTGTCAGAGCAGCTGGCATTAGCAGAGCTCTCGGCCAGCACTCAGCAGTCAGACACAGCCACTTGTGCCTCTCCTGTGGACTGGGGGATGAAGAATATAGCTGGTTATGTCGTGTAAAGCAGAGTCTCACAGATCCCATCTTGTGAGCTGCAGCCTACTGCAGATGACAACAGGAGAAAGCTGGTTTGGCACCAGGGAGACAGCAAAGTAGCAAGGCTTATTATGTTCTTATTTTCACTTTCAGTTCACGATTTAAATACCCATGGAACAAATTTGCTTTGCTCATAACAGTCTTTTTTGAATGATAATGTCATTGGAAATTTCATTTTGCCTTTGCCCAAGAAGACAACAGTTGCTTTCTGCAATGCAGAGAAATTGTAATATCTACAATTATTCAATACTGTACACCAAAGGTTTTAGGAGCTGTCATTTGCTCAATGTGATAAGTATTTGTGCAGTATTTAGCAGATTGATACTTATTTTCTTGATACTCGTCTTTTTGGTGCTATTCCAATTTAAACGTGGTAATAAAAATCCTATAATTCAAATATATTTCAGCTCGTGTAAAGGAATGTGATCAGCATCTCACGCATGGGTATTTAACTGTTGTAATCAGAGGATATGTTCTTAATGCAAGCAAGGGCAATAGAATTTGATCCCCAAATGTCTAGATTTGCAATTTCTGAGTACTCAGGTGTGTGATTACTGGCAGGCTAAAGTGCTTTGTGAGAATGGGGTAGAAAGAGCTCCTGCCAAATTCTCCTAACATTTCTTCTTTCTTCCGTGAGCAGAGAGGAATTGCATTCCCATGATGATACATGCACTCCCACTGGAAAGCAGCCAGGTAGAAAGAAGAAACAAAACAACAAAATATGCTTTTCTATGCTTCAAGTGTCTTAAGTGCTCAATACACGTAGGGAGTTCAGCTGCTACGTGGGACCTGTTCTCACCTCCTGTACAGATGGATGCATCCCTGAACTCATGTGAATTGGCTTGGGTTTGGTGTCGGTTGGGAGCTCTTCTCTAGTCCAGCTAGTATCACCTCTCCTTGAGCTTCCCCATGCCATATGGACATGTCTGATGGAGAGGCAAGAAGGGATTTTCTAAGAGCAGGGTGAGGGCTGGAGCAACTCTTAGGGATGGCATCTGTGTTTACTTGTTATAGCACTTTGCGGCAACCACAGACCTTTTCTTGTGGATGATTGCAGCCACCCCAGGTAGATCCTGACAGGCTGGTGGGATAAGAGAAATAATGCAATCTGTGAGAACTTCACTGTGCTTGAACACGGTTATACAGAAGCTCAAACAGCTACATTTTCTGTAAGTGCAAATAATAATATTGCTGCATTGTTGCCTCACTGAAAGTGGCCCAGGTTCAAAGCAGGATTTGGTTATGTGTTTGTACCAGATGGAGCTTTTAAATTTTCATCAGTAGGTTTATAAACACAAAAATATCCTTTTATCTGCCCCCAGCTCTTTTACTAATTAGCTGCAAATGCTGAACTTCAGTTAGCCTGGAGTGGAGAAGCAGATGAAATAATACACATTCTTACTCATGATTATCCATCATGTGAAAATGAAATAGATATTAATAATGAATGTTCCAGGTTTTTCGGGCTTTTCTATTGGTGCATTTTCCCTCTTTAATACTTGGTAGTATAAATGAGTGAAAATAGCTAAAAAATAATGAGCCAGAATCTCTGGTGATGAAATTCTGTTGCCCACAAAGAGTGAGAGTTTTCAGCCTTGCTCATCTTTGCCTTGGCTCCTGTAGATATTGGGCCAAGCCAGCACAAGGGTCTGTGACAGATGTGTTTTTTAGTCGCCATGGAAGGATTTTACAAAGGCACTTGCAAAACTACATTTTTCCTGCTGCTGAGGTGGCCAGAGAGGTCTAGGCTTTGAAGCAACACTGCTGTATGTTACGAGAGAATCACAGCTTTCCTGAGGGGTGCAGGTGCATGGAGAGGCAAAGGGATGAGTTGAATGCTGTATTTGCCTCTAGCAGCATGTTTGCTGGCCTACAACATGTACTCTGTGTGTGCCCCAGCTGAGAAGCTCTTTCTGGACCCTGCAGGCATCCATCTACTGTGCCTGTTCCGTGTGGTTTATAAATCATTCAAGAGATTTGCATCTTTCTACAGCTGTACCAGCTCTTTAGAGGATATCGAGGAAGGATCTCTACCTTAACTGATAACTTTTAGGCAGGAAAATGTTTGGGTGTATTTTCAAACATCAGTCTTGGCACACAGTTTAGAATGTCGCTATAGCTATAGGAGTGGCGAAAGAAAACCCAGCGACACAGCTTCCTCAGAGGTAGAAGAAGCTCTTCCAGAAAAACACACATCTGCACACATATTATAGACTACCCCGCTGAACCAAGAATAGGATCAGCTTATTGGTCCAAGGAAAAGCAACACCTCTTACAAAACATGCTTTTCTCACACACATACAATGTCAACACCAGCAGGTGCAACTTTTGTTTATTAATTTTTTCCTTTCTGTTTTCTTTCAAACGCCTGGGAAAACTCTGCTTTCCTAGGCTCCATATCCACATTAGAACATATTGGAAAATTGTCAGGAAAGCTGAGGAAAGGCACCACTTCGTGAGGTATAGATTGGTTCTGGGAATTCTGCATCCAACTTTTCATGTCATAGAATCATAGAATGTTAAAGAGTTGGAGTGAACCTTAAAGACCACGTAGTCCCAATCCCCCTGCCATGGGCAGGGACACGTCCCCCTAGATCAGGGTGCTCAAGGCCTTATCCAGCCTGGCTTTGAACACTCCCAGGGCTGGGGCATCGAACTGTGTTGGCTATCTTGCCTTAAGAAGGCTTTGCTGGAAAAGTAATCCACTAAAAGGATAGACTCTACTGTTGGGAAATAGAGATGCATAAATATGAACCAGTAACTGAAAGAAAACTTTTCTTTCAATAATAATAATAATGGAATATGTTCTGACTAATCAAACCCCAGAACATACCCCTGAAACACTAGTCACTTCTTTGGTGGGTTGTGCTTCAGCATAAGGATGCCAGCTTTATGGGCCATACTAACCTTGGAATAAAATGCAGTAGAATCTCTGAAGTTGGAAAAGACATTTAAAATCATGGAGTCCAACTATAAACCTCACACTGCCAAGTCCAACACTCAGCCATGTTCCCAAGCGCCACATCTACATGTTGTTTAAACACCTACAAAGATGGTGACTCAACCACTTCCCTGGGCAGCCTGTTCCAGTGCTTGACAATCCTTTCTGTGAAGAAATCTTTCCTAATATCCAAACTAAGATGGTAGGAGAAAGGCAAAGCAGCATTGCCAAAGTCTCCCCTGACGACACAAAACCAACAGATTTTTTTCTTTTCCTGAGTCATGCTTAGTATGTGTAGCTGGAGGCAGCTGCTGCTCTGTCACAAAATGTGGCTGTGAGCAGGAGGTAGCAAAAAGCCAGCACTACACAGGGGTCTGCAGTTGCCACAGGAGTCTGTGTCCAAGTGCCACTTGATTGAATTATCAGAGATGCGTGAGGCTTCAGTTCTAATTTAGCATAGGCTGAGAGATTACTGAGCAAAAATGGACCTGTTCTCTGATCTGCTATTCTGATGCGATAGCTCACTGTTAAAAGAAGGCCACCAAGCTTTTCTTTTTACTGCACTGGACATTGCAAGGGAAGGGAAAGTTCTATTTAAAATTGCTTAATCGGAGATGAAGTGCAGTTGAGAAGAAAGATCAAAGATAGGAAGTAGGGACAGGAAGAAAGAGATGAGGTACAGTGTGTCTGCACATTTCATGTTAATGAATCTCTGCTTAGGAAGGGAAGGATGGATCTTTGTGTACCAGGAGAGAAAAACAGCTTCTACCACCACACTGAGACTCCCTTTGAACATGGTCTCCTACGAAATGAAGGACTGCACTCTGCTTTACATTTCACAGAATTAGAAAAGACCAAGCTATTTTCTGACTGCCTGCATCCTGCTTATGTAACTTGCAGATAACAGTTGTGCAACCTCTGGCTGAGCCCTGGAAAATTTCCTTGTTGGTGAGTCAGGTGCTTGACAAACTGTCTGGTGCAGTGGGCTTGGAGATGAGATTGCAGTCAGAGGCACTACCTGGGTACCAGAGCCCAATTCAGGGTCTCTTCATGGAACTTCTTCCTTCTAGAAGCTTGCTGATCATCCTGATCTTGTCATTGCCAAGTGTCCCTGTTGTGCTGTATTAATTAGTGCGAAGCATCCCCACTGATTGCTCTGAAGCAGGAGAAAATTACGGCCCTGACTGTTATCCAGAGATGTGGGTCAGCAAGGAAGGAGGAGGAGAGCTAGGCAAGAATGAGTCCTTGGCCTTTGCATTAATTTTATCCATATAAATTCCATCAGGATGTGGGGAGAGTGTTTAGTGCAGCGGAGCTGCAAAAGTGTGATTTCATGGGGAAGCACAGAGTCTCCCTTTGCAGTCCTCATTCTGAAACTCCATGTAGTCACCAGAACAGTGTTGGTTTGGAGGCTGTGGATCTGGCTGAAAGCTGGAGGTCAGGACTATACATCGTGCTGTAGGAGGAAAATTGAGAACTACGAAAAGTAAGGATTAGACCCAGAGATGAGGGGCAAAACTGAAACAGATATAAAACTATCTCAGCTTCAAACCAGGCTTCCTTGTGGGTCAGCTGTCATCTCCAGGAGCTGCAGATCCCAATTTCCACCTCTTTGGAAGTGTGACTAAGAGGAGCCAGGAGATCTGTACCACCAAGTAGGCCCAGTCACTGCAGTGTCCAGGCTGGGACAACTGTGAGGTTCCCAGATCAGCCCATCTTAAACCAATCTGTGCAGGAAGGCTGTGTGGCAGCCCAGCTGTGTTCAGAGAAGCACTTGCAAAGACAGACTGCAGTGGGAGGGGGACAAAAAAAGACTTCGCCACAGGGATGACTGGTGACTAATGAGTTTCATTGATCCTCTGCTTGCAGGAGAGAGCAATCCATCACCTGCAGCTCCTGCGGGCTGTTCTTCTGAAGGCTCTGAGGAAGCAAACGTGAAATGTTACCCAAAAGAAGGGCCGTGTGATCCTTCTGAACCTAATGATGCTGTGCTCTCATGGAGGTATGAACCTGATGCTGCAGAGGATCCCAGTATCAGGGACTCTCTGGACGGCTTCTACAAAATGTATTGCAGAAAGCAGCCAGAGAGAAAGGATCCATCCTACGAGGCTGCCTCATGGAGTCTGTCACAGAAGATTTCTGAGCTGGAGCAAAAGGGTGGAACAAAGTATGTGTCATGTTGCCTGCAAATGGCACAGTTGGTCTTGAACAGAGATGGATGTAAGATCTTTCCAAACCATCCCCCATCTGCTTGCTTTTCAAAGCCAGCTGAAGGAGAAATCTTGTTGGAAAACAGGAGGAGGATGCCTGGACTCTCAGATGACATCCTGCAGTTCCTCTTGAAACAAACACAGGCAGAACATAGCCGTGATGGGTCACATGAGATGTGAGCAAGACATTGGTTTGTTTCTGTCATTGAAGCTTTGCTTTCACTCCAGTAGGAGGTGACTTTGTTCTCCAAAGAACACATTGTTCTCCAAGCACCACCTTCAGCACCAGATGCTCCATGGAGGAGTTCACCCACACCAGACCTTGCACCTTGCTCTCTGAAGGGCAGAACTGCATAAGGAGCATCCGTGTAACTGCTTGGAATGTGTTGACTAATTGAGAGGGGTCATGCAGTATTTGTTGCTGGGACATCAAACATGATAATTTATACCTACCAGGCTTTTAAATTGGCCTGCATCCTTACCGCAGGTTAACAGCCCAAATTGGTCCAGCCCAAATTCAGCCCCTGGGTGGGCATGGCTGTCCAAGTGCTGTTGGCTATAACAGACGGTTTGAATGACCTTGGCATGGTGTGCCCCAGCCCTACAGACGGAAAGTTAGGATTTCATTCTGTGCATTTGCCTCTACAGGGTGCCTGTGTTTTTAGATATATAACCCCACAGTTCATGATTGCAATGCCAGGTGAGTTTTTCCGACAGGAAAAAGCGTGTGTGTGTATGAGAAAGAGAAAATACAGCTCTGAGTATGTTCTCTGACAGTCCTTCTGTCCTGTTTACCTCCCCACCACCACCCACCCCCCCAGGAACCTTCAGTTCCTTTCTGACTTTTATGATGGTGCTAATGAGATCCCTGGGGGAATGTTCCCTTTAAAATGAAATGGATCTCTCTGAGCCCAAAGGGGCTGATGTCAGTCAGCAACAGAGCAATGAACCCACACACAGCCACTTAAGATTTCTCTCTCGGAAGCCTCCCGGCTCGGTGGCTTCTTTTTTGCTTTACTGTTTCAGAAGCCTCTCCGCTCAGTGGCTTCTGGCTTATTTGTTGCTTTACTGCCTCAGCCAGGCAGATAAATGTTTTTGTGCATGTTTTCCACCCACTGAAAGAGCAGTTTGCTGTAGTGATGTTATTTGCTGACTGGGGAGGCCATTCTCCAGCGTGGGTGTGAGCAAGGAAGCACAGAGTGCCAGAGGGAGGGATGTGTTCAAGATGACAGCAGATGAGCAGAGGAGAAAGAAAGAAAATTTGGTTGGGGTCTCAAAGGTCAACATCAGTATGGTTACTCCAGTACAGCCACAGTCCTCACAGTAGTTTTGGTGTTTGATATCCAGTGTTTGCCAGCCCAGCTGCTGAGACCTCTCATCCATTCCCTGTCCATACTGGTCAGATCTCACAGTGGGTGTTTATGTTCTGCATGTCACATTCCCTGCTGCAGTCCCACATGTGGCTGCTATTCCTGCCTTGCTGCCCCTGGCAGATTGGCACACCTGTTGTGCTCCGCTGGTGTTTCCAGCAAAGGCAATGGAAATTTGGCTGCTGCCTTCAGTCAGAGCAGGAGGCCCAGCTGGCTGCAAGTTATGGCCAAAGCCTTAGGACGTAGTCTAATTTCTCTTTGCAAATAGATTTATGTTAGAAGTGCCTGGGTTTAGTTTCCTGTCCTTGAGTTGTCATGGAACCAATACATTTGGCTTTGTGGTGGTCCTGCTCGGTGTGTTGCTTGCTTGCTTTTATTGCAGAGGTGTTGCACATGTGCTGGAGGGCACACAGAATATTGGAGCAGACCTTCAGCTTCTCCCCCAGCATTACTTGAGTTAATGGTGCTGGGGGAAAAAAGGAGTTGAGGATGCAGCATCATTTCTGTAGTAGCAGACAAACCCACAGGTGCTTGTGTATCAAAATCCAGATGAAAGCATCCTGCTGGCAAAAACTATAGAGAATGGTAATATCAGCTAGTTTAGCCACAGATACAGCTGGAAAAAGCAAACATGTTCCTGAGTGTGCTGTCAGTAATTACAATAACATCAGTGGCCCCTCTGCCAGCTCACACTGCTTAACCCCCGTGGATCTGTCACAACCACAACCACTGTGTTGACAGATGTAGGGAGATATTGTTAAGGATGTACAGGGAAGAAGGAAGGTCTTCAGTGTCAATCAGATGTTGATGCTTTTAATTTTTGCCAGCATTTATGCTGTTCCACACAGTTAAATTAGTTGCTATGCAAAATATCTTAACTGCCATTTTAAGGGAAATAAACTCTCATGGTGAGAGAGATGGAGAAATCAGAGATCTGCCTCTGAATCCCTTTAGTTGCTGTATTTGGTTTGTTGATTAATTGGTCAGTACTTTGGGTGCTGTAAAACCACCTGGTCTCCTATTCAGACTTTAAAAAAATTATTTTAAGAAAAAAAAAAGGCCAAAGATGCGCAATTTCCACAAAGAAAGCTTGCAGAAAAATAGGAAGTTCCTGCTCTTTAGGAGAGACCTGCTGCTACTGATGTTTGAGACATCCCTACTGGGTTTTGATGGAAGAGAAGTTCGGAATGACAAAACAGAGAAAAAGTGGCTGCTGAAAGAGCATGAAGAGAGATACTAGCAGAGGAATATCTACAAATCTTGGCTGGGATCTTGCAGAGGACATGGCAGTCTCTGTGCTGCTGAAACATGCAGTCTTTTGAGAAGTTTGCACCCTCAGAATCAGGAGTGCTGCATTTCCTTCTGTGCACTGCTCACTTCCAGTGGGTCACGGATATGTCTATCCTTGGCTTCCTCAAGGTAAAAAGACAGTGTTTTCGCATGGCAAGTATCAAGAGTAGCATGAAGCCCTCACAGAAATGTCCCATGTTCTGTGCATTTCTCCCCAGCCTGTGCAATAATCTGAGAAACTGAGTTTATTCCTGAGAGGTGACGTGCCTGTCTCCCTGCTTGCACTTGACTTAGTTTTGACACTTCTGTGGTTTCAGCTCACCCTGTCTCGTTGGCTCTACCCAACTTGGTGGTTTTCACCTCTGCTGGCAAAGCCAGCTGCTGTCACCTCTCTTCATCCCTCTATGTCTGGAGGCTGCTTTGGCAAAGGCATTTGGGAGCTTACACTGCAGAGCAAATCCAAGGGGTTTTTTTTCCTTCTGTTTGTTCAAGGCTCACAGCCTAAGAGCAGCTCTCTGAGCCTAACTTAGGTCAGCACCTGAAAACCTACTTTGCCTTTCAGGGCTCTGGGTAGACAAGATCCCACAAGATCCTCAAGCAAAGTGTGTTAGTGAAGTAAAAGATGGAGAATCAGTCCCATAGGGTAAGACCAGCTGTGTTGGTTTGAAAGTAAAACCAGTGCGAGACTCCAAGTCAGTAATACAATTTAATAGGAGAAAAGAGAAAAAATAAAATACATGCAATAATATAAAAGAAACAACCACCGACACAGTCAGAAATACAACCTGACACCCTGTCAGTCAGGGTGTTGGTAGCAGTCCGTATAAATGGTGGCTGCAGTCCTCCTGGATGACAGATGTGGTTCAGTTGAAGCGGTGCTCCTGTAGAAGGTGCAGTTTTCCTCCAAAGATCCAGCGATGATGTGGAAATGGTCCGACTTTCCTCTGGGATCCAGTGGAAAGGTCTGCCTTCGCGTCCCAAACCCTAGTTTTTTATCTAGGTAGGAAAGGCTTGGCTCCTGCCCCTGGCTGGGGCATCTCCCAATGGGATGATGTAATCTTATCAGTCACACAATAGGACTTAATGGCCCATTAACGGAATATATCTTCTGGAGGAAGGATGGGTTGTGAAAAGATAACGATGATCATCCCCCTGATCTTATCAGATCATCCCCCTGATCTTATCAGATGGCACATCAGCAGAGGATATCTCCCACAGAGATAAGGATCACCACCCCTCCCACATTTCAACAGATGGTGATAGAATACACATTTTTGCATCGTACCCCAGGACACCAGCAAACCAAAGTTGATCCCCCATTGCCAAGTAGGAGGAGCACACAGGACATAGTGAGGACTTGACATGGCCCAGGGGTTTCCCTACTGCAAAGCCCATATCCAAATCCCACCCAAGTTCTGTTAGAGGTGTGTGAGCTTTGGGTTGGGTATTTTGCACCTGAGCTGGACCAGCATCCCCAGTGTCTCAGAGGGGTGTGTGTGATGCTGCAGGCACTGAGCTTCTGCCCATGCACACCAGCCACTGGAGTGGCCGTGGGGCTCAGCCTAGGACTAGGTCTGGCAGGCTGAGAGTGCTGCTTTTATTTCCTTGCATTAATGCCTGATCCAAGCTCTTCTATTATCCTTGCCGAATCCTGCTGCTGTTAAGTCATTCTCTCGGCTGGGAGCTGCTCCAGGACATTTGGTATCAATGGCCCCTCTGCTCCCTCTGCTGTTTTATTTTCCCTCCCACATGGCTGTTGGTGGGAGGTGTTGATTCATGCCAGCGACCTACCCAGTCCTGGAGCCCAAAGGCTGCCAGGGAGAGCTGAGCTGCCAAAGGTGCTGAAGCGGGCCCTGAGCTGGCCCCAGTGATGTGAATGGGGCCAGGGCCGTTTACACCAGCAGAAGATTTTCCCCCAGGCGTTTAAGGTGCCTTGGTATGCCTGGATATATCAGGACATATGGTTGTTAAAACTGATATACGACAGGCAGTATACATCCTGCATAAATGTGGTCGTTTCATTACTGAGCATTGGTGATTTTGTGTGGGGCATATGTTTTCCCACAACACAGAAGTTAATTTTAAAAATACCGTGTTCTGTAGGCTTTCCCTAATGACTGTTTTCCCCCACACATCGATTAGGCAACAACATATGCCAGTATCTCTTCCTTAAAAGTAAAATCTGGCACATAGCACACAGAGCATGAAATAATAAGATGTGATTAAAGCAGTAGCTGGAGCTAACCAAAGCCAGAAAGCTTGTGGCTGAAAGGTCAAACCTTTTTTTTAATTGCCTTTGCAATGGCCTGTTTGTTTGTGGGTGCTGGAACTTGGGAGGGAAAGTCCTGTAATGAAAGAACAACTATCATAGAAAATTCCACCTTCAGTTCAAGCCAAACTTTCACTTGCATGGGAAGTAATCTTGTAATGGGAAATGTGGGTCAGCCTTAGGGCATGTATCACTCTCCAGTGTTATCTGCATTGCTGTGAGATGAGCCAGGAATGGTGTTAAATGGGTGCTAAAATCAGCACCTCCCGGCCAGAGAAGCAGGATGATTCTGTAATTAAGGATACTGAGGTGGGGATGTTGTGCCATGCAACACATTTGCAGTGTGACTTCCACCAATTAGGTTTTTTTCCTAAGTTGCCAGCAGCTTGTTTGGGGTATCTGAGAGCTTCAGAGAAAGAGTGAAAGGGCAGGGCATTTATACCTATACCTCTAACGGCAATTCTCCTCAAAACCCCGCAATTAGAGGTTCAAACAATAATAGAGATTTTGCATCTGTGGTCCAGGCCCCCCTGTTTAAGAAGCGGCTCAGCACGTGTTCTGTAAGGCCAGCTTAGTTTTGATCCTTGTTTTTGCATCTTCTCTGGGTCTGACTGGTCCCTGAGATAAGCTGAGCATCATATGATGAAAGTGTGAGTGCAGGTAAGTCCCGTGGCTGTTTTCTGTCTCTGGGAATGTTAATGCTGCCTGTCTGGTGTTCAAGAAGAGACTGGTTGCACGTGAATTACTAGGAAAAAAAATTATTCTTGGTTGAGGAGACAGACTGCTATTTTGAGGGCTGGAGGCATCTTTCCAAAGGCAGCAATGAATTAAGCTGAAAATGCAATGG